TAATGGAGTGACCTGTGTAGGATCAAACTGAGAGAACATGGCAAAGCAAGGAACCCCAGCTGAAGTCTTTTTATTCCTAATCTCCAAGATGTTAAGGTCCCATTCAGTTCTAAAATACTATAATTAGAAATGGCTGCCACACTCATATAAAGTGAACCACGCCAGGAGCAGTATTGGTAAAGGTAAGCTGCTAATATAGTTCAGAGGAATAAGAGATCACTTTACATGGGAATCAGTTAAGAAGTCATAGAAGGGAACTTCCCTGTCACTCCAGTGGTTAAGACTCTGTGCTTCCACTGCAGGGGACATGGGTTTGATCCCTGGTCAGGGAACTAGGATCCTACACGCCGCGTGGCATGGGCAAGAAAAAAAAAAAAACGTCATAGAGGAAATTTGACATCAGCCTTGAAGGATGGCTAGAATGAAGGCAAGCAAAGATGGAGAGAGTATATACAGCAGTTAGGTATAATATGGCATGATCAGAGCACATGGCAGTGCAGAGGGAGCTTATAGAAAGGGGCCCAGGACAGCAGAACAGGCCTCAGGAACTAACCCAGGTATTTATTACAAAAGTCAAAGATAACCCTAAGGTGTTCAGTCTTAGAGGTTAGAAGAATACAGCAAACTAAAATTTTCAGTATAGCATTGGAAGCCCTTTTAAAAAAAAGTTTACAGTTCATTTAATGGCAAATGGTAATCATCCAATTAACAATGGTTATCTTCAAAAGTTATTACACTAGCTGTGATGTCATTTCTCAAGGTTGGTCACATACCTAAAGTCACACACACTTCCCACATAAGATGTATCATACAAAGCAGACTTGGTTTATCACCAGTATTTATAAAACCAGGCCTAGGGAAAGAACTAGGTCTGGGGACCAATGGATGGTCTTAATATAGCGAATGTTTGGAAGCCCTTTACCAACTTCCTTCCTCTCCCAACACAGATTCCATTTGTCCCTGTATATCTTCTTCCCCCGGAGAACTAGGGAATTAATCCACTCATCATGATATATGCATTTCAGTTCCCCATCATAGGTATGCCTTCACGATGCCCATCTCTCCAGTCAGTGAGCCTTGAGCCCTTAAACTACTTCAAACACTTTACTTCCTTCACTGGTCCCATTTGACCTGTCAGCTCTTCACATTTGTATGTTCTAGAGACATTTACTCTCAAGCACTGGGCCATATATAATTATTACCGGCTAAGTCTCTCAGTGTCTGCTGCTCTTCCCTACCTAAAGCTCCAGGAGGAAAGCACTAAGTAATTGCATTTCTTTGGTTTACTCCCATGACTTAATATCAATGCAAGATGTTAGGTGTTGCCTTAGTGCTAACCATAGCACTACCTTGTTTTAAGAGGAGGATAAGCTTGATAAGAAAAATGACCTTTTTTTAATGTGTTCCTCCTAAGTGGATCTCCCGAGAGAAACCTTACAACCCTCACCCTTTGGCCCCATATACATCTTCAGAGGTGCTCTGTAAAAGGCCAGTTATATGCTGTGTGCCCACAGTAACAACAGAGTTAATTCTCTCCTTTTGAAATTGTGACTCCCACCCTCCTCCCCTACATCTAAACGTTTCCTTTTAAAGAAAAGCCAGTGCTCACTGCTCCTGAAAAGTAAAGACAACCACATAAAGACCAAGGTCCAGGCTGGAGCAAGCAATGACAGAACATTAAAATCACCACTTGAATTTGTCTTTCCTTGAACACTGCCAAAGATGACTATTGGAAGGTCAATCCTCAGAATGCATGCTCATTTCAGACTTTTGTCACTTTCACCTCTATGTTCACAAACTATTTTGACTCAAATAAACGAATTGGAGGTGGCCTTCAGTTGAGATGAAATGGGAGAGGTACAACATTTCAAGAAAAAAAAAACAACAACAACTTTATGTGACCACTCCCCTAGCACCCCATCACAACATAAAGTACCAAGAAGAAGCAAGGAGGGTTTATTATGCAAAGGTTAATGTATCAGTATAAGGTTTAGAAGAGGAGGAATTAATTACCTCTCCCTCCTCCAAACTATACTTCTGGCCTCTCCAGCTGCATCGAGCTTGCTCTTCCACCTCTTAGTTCCAGATTGTGTTGTGGCAATCAGATCCATACTTCACGTACCCCTGAGTTCCTTCCCATTTGCTGAGTCCACGTTTTCAAGATTCTTATCCTTTCTTACCCCACTCCCCAATCACATGTTGGCCTAATGGCCTGAGGTGCCTTTCTTGCTCAGCTACTATGGCAGTTCAGCAAGATACGCTAAATATCTTTCCCCATACAAACACGGAAAATAACAAGGGTGTTTTTAAAGTGTGTAAAATATCTCTCAGCAGCATCCGACGCTGAAGGAGAAGACATTTACCAAAAGAAACCTGTGCTTAGCCCAGAAAAAGAGCTTGATCATGTATATACACAATCGTCACATTACAGCCTGATGCATTAGATGTTCTCACAAGAGAGGTAAAGAGTTATGAGAGATCAAACATGAGGAAAGAAAGAAGTTTATGTGAGCTCTTTCCTTTTTTTTTACTTTTTAGTGTGTTGGACCCTAAGAGGCATGACATTAAAACTCATGAAAACCAGCTATATCAGCCTGCTTTGGTGACTCAAAAGTTGTCGTTTCTCGACTCAACTTTGCTGAAACACTTGATTCATGTTGTTCTTATTTAACCTAATTTGCATTGATTTAATCAGGGCTGGTATGCTTTAAATACATAATAAATTGGGATTCTGCAACTTAGATGACTTAGAATAGCTAAATTTCAATAAAGCTCATTTCAATCTGTTAATGTATACGGTTCTGCCAAGGGGTTTAAAACCGTAGAAAAGATGCAAACTTGCCACATTAGAAGTGGGAAAGATTTAAAGACACCATCCAGATGAAATGATTTGCAGGATAATAATGTGAAAAGCAATATATATGTACATATGTATTTTTTAATTACAGCCTAGACATATCTTCTACGTTTTGAGTATCATACTTAGAAGAAAGCTCACATATAAATGCAGTGAATTTAATTTTATTTTCCTTCCTTCTTGCCAACACTCAACTCTTTTCTGCCTCTGTACCAGCTCTACAAATCAAGTGACATCCAAAGTGGGACCTCTTCTTGCCCATTTGGCAGGCTCTAGCACCACTTTGCAAGCTGCCTGCATTAGGAGAATTTTCTTCCTAGCAGCCATGGGGATTGGGTGGCTTGTACTCACAATACTTGCTGAATGGTTGGCCAATGTTTACCCCTGCCTGCCCCAGCTCCCCAACCCTTTAGAGTTTATGGCTCAATCAGCCGGCTTGCTGTGAGGAATAATTGTCTTGGCAAGAGGTGAAAACTCTTGATGGTGAAATTGTCTGTCTGTTAAAGTGTTCCGCAGCACCCTGGAGGTGCCAGTGCCCAGTCCAGAGTCAGGCAGGAGGCAAGAGGGCTGGAGAGGTGACCATCAAGAATGGGAAAGGAAGGCCACCACTTTGGTGCGAGACAGAAAATAACCTATCTGTGCCAGTAACAAGCTGTGAGACCTCGGATAATCACCCGATGTCTCTGTACCTCAGTTTCGTCATGTGCAAAATTCAGATTTTCTAATGTCTCTTTTAGCTCCTAAGGCAGCATGTGACGTCTAGGACATTTCAGCTTTGTTTTCTTTCCAATTGAAGGATGCATCTCAGAGATGAATGACCAGGCCAGAGCTCAGAGGAATACGAAACGGAATGATTCATGCCCCTGTTCATAAAACTTTTCCTGAAAAGTACTACTAGTCTTTGGTGACTTTGATTCCACTGGTTAGTAGTGTCTTTAGCTTGAATGTAAGGAGCAACTTAGTTATTTGTCCAAAGCCAGCCCAACCCTGGAGCTTTGGTAATCCACCTCATTCTTATCAATGAGAGCACAACTATAGATAATGCCCACTTATTTTCAGTTCCTAAGAGTCAGATATGATGGGAATTAGAAGTGAGGAGCTGGAAATTCACATTGGATTCTCCCTATTGCCTCCTTGGGCATATTTGTCAAGAAGGTAGGCTTATCCACTCACTTCCAGCTGGGTTTCTCTTTTTTTTTTTTTTTTTTTTTAACAGATGACCAACAGGTCCCTGACAACAGCAATGCAGACCCTCTCCAGACCAGCTGGAACAAGACAGAGCTCAACATAAGAAGCTTAAGGAGCCCATCCATAAATGAGTGTTAATGGAAATAATCAGGCCAAGACCTCTTCATGCTCAGATGATACAATTTAGTAACAGTCTCAAAGATTAAGTACTGGGTGTATATATAGAAAGGGGTAGGCTTCGTGAGGGTTTAAACTACCCCTTCTCCTCTCATCCTCTCGCACATTCTCCTGGAGCGGAGTGTACTGCAGGGTTCTGTAATCACCATGAGTAGCACGTCAGGGTCAGCCCTCCCGGTGTCAGACATTAGAATCTTTCTTTAATCCACCCGGGACCCCACAGACATCTATGGAGACTGGTGAAGCCCCAGAGGGATCTCGGGCAAGAAAAACTCCCTGTACACAGACATAGGTTTCTGCCACTCTAGGTCTACCGCCAGGACCAGGATGGCTTTCCAAATCCGCTGAGTTTGGAAAGCATTCCCCCACCCACCACCTAAAATTGCTGGCTTACTGCAGAACTCCAGTGCCCGCAAGGGAAAAAAGAAAAATCTCAGCCAAATCCCCACAATCATTGCTTTCCTCTAGCTTCTCTCAAGTTGCTTTTCTAAAGCAAAGGACCAAATGTTGATTTCTCTACAGATTCCTACGTATCTCTTACACGTAGACAGCTTTAAAGGGGGAGGGGGGAACGTTCCCCAAAGGGAAGGGGAGGGCGGAACAGAATATTTCAGTCTCCCACTTGGAAATATCTTGTCGTTGATGATGCTTTTCCAAACCTCCATCCCCCCTCCTTTTTTTTTTTTTTTTCTTTTTGGAAATATGGACCAAAAAGCTGAAAGTTATTTCCATTTCATCAAAGAACATATATTACTTTAGTGGCTCGGGAGAATGTTGGTTTTCTGCCCACCCCTTTTCAATCTGCCCAAGTCTGAGGTGCTCCGGGAAGACGCACAATCGTGAGCAGCTTACGACACTCAGTGAGCAGTAGGTGCCGGTGCAAGCTCGCGCCTCACACTGCCTGGCGGAGGGAAGGAGCCCGGGCGCCGGGCACCGCTCCCCGCTCCCAGCGCCGCCACCCGAGCCGCCCGCCGCCCGCACCTCCCCGCCGCCCGCAAAGCATGAGCGAGCCCGCTCTCCGCAGCCGCCCCGGGCGCGAATGGCAGGCTGTCTCCGCGGAGCAAAAGGTGGCGCCGGTCAGTGGTCCTTTCCAATGACGGACATTAACCAGACTGTCAAATCCTGGGGAGTCGCGAGCCCCGAGTTTGGAGTTTTTTTTTCCCCACAACGTCACAGTCCGAACTGCAGAGGGAAAGGACAGCGGCAGGAAGGCGAAGCCCCGGCTCCCGCACGCAGTTGGGAAACTTGCGGGTCCTAGAAGTCGCCTCCCCGCCTCGCCGGCCGCCCTTGCAGCCCCGAGCGGAGCAGCAAAGTGAGACATTGTGCGCCTGCCAGATCCGCCGGCCGCGGACCGGGGCTGCCTCGGAAACACAGAGGGGTCTTCTCTCGCCCTGCATATAATTAGCCTGCACACAAAGGGAGCAGCTGAATGGAGGTTGTCACTCTCTGGAAAAGGGTGGGTAAGACACTTTTTAATTAAATTCTTTCCCGAAGATTTTTTTTTTTTTTCCTCCCTTTGCTGCAGCATCTAACATGGACCAAATCACCATCTCTTTGATCTTTACGTGGCTGTGAACTTTCTATGCTGCCCAGCTTTCTGCATGCTTAGAGGTGAACGTGTGGCTTTGGGGAGGGGGGGTCCTGCTTTATTTCAATGTATTTATTTGATTTTTGCCCTTTTCTCCCCCTCCCCCGCTCCCCCTCCCTCGGAATAAAATATGATGTAGATTTCTGACCGAGCGCTTCCAATGGACATTCTCCAGCCTCTCTGGAAAGATTCTCGCTAATGGATTTCCTGCTGCTCGGTCTCTGTCTATACTGGCTGCTGAGGAGGCCCTCGGGGGTGGTCTTGTGTTTGCTGGGGGCCTGCTTTCAGATGCTGCCCGCCGCCCCCAGCGGGTGCCCGCAGCTGTGCCGGTGCGAGGGGCGGCTGCTGTACTGCGAGGCGCTCAACCTCACCGAGGCGCCCCACAACCTGTCCGGCCTGCTGGGCTTGTCCCTGCGCTACAACAGCCTCTCGGAGCTGCGCGCCGGCCAGTTCACGGGGTTAATGCAGCTCACGTGGCTCTATCTGGATCACAATCACATCTGCTCGGTGCAGGGGGACGCCTTTCAGAAACTGCGCCGAGTTAAGGAACTCACACTGAGTTCCAACCAGATCACCCAACTGGCCAACACCACCTTCCGGCCCATGCCCAACCTGCGCAGCGTGGACCTCTCGTACAACAAGCTGCAGGCGCTCGCGCCCGATCTCTTCCACGGGCTGCGGAAGCTCACCACGCTGCACATGCGGGCCAACGCCATCCAGTTCGTGCCCGTGCGCATCTTCCAGGACTGCCGCAGCCTCAAGTTTCTCGACATCGGATACAATCAGCTCAAGAGTCTGGCGCGCAACTCTTTCGCCGGCTTGTTCAAGCTCACCGAGCTGCACCTGGAGCACAACGACTTGGTCAAGGTGAACTTTGCCCACTTCCCCCGCCTCATCTCCCTGCACTCGCTCTGCCTGAGGAGGAACAAGGTGGCCATTGTGGTCAGCTCGCTGGACTGGGTATGGAACCTGGAGAAAATGGACCTGTCGGGCAACGAGATCGAGTACATGGAGCCCCATGTGTTCGAGACCGTGCCACACCTCCAGTCCCTGCAGCTGGACTCCAACCGTCTCACCTACATCGAGCCCCGTATCCTCAACTCCTGGAAGTCGCTGACGAGCGTCACCCTGGCCGGGAACCTCTGGGACTGTGGGCGCAACGTGTGCGCCCTGGCCTCATGGCTCAGCAACTTCCAGGGGCGCTACGATGGCAACTTGCAGTGCGCCAGCCCCGAGTACGCACAGGGCGAGGACGTCCTGGACGCAGTGTACGCTTTCCACCTGTGCGAGGAGGGGGCCGAGCCCACCAGCGGCCACCTGCTCTCCGCCGTCACCAACCGCAGCGACCTGGGATCCCCCGCCGGCCCGGCCACCACTCTCGCTGACGGCAGGGAGGGGCAGCCCGACAGCACGCCTGAGCTGGCTACCGTGGCCCTCCCCGGCGGCGAACACGCCGAGAACGCTGTGCAGATTCACAAGGTGGTCACCGGCACCATGGCCCTCATTTTCTCCTTCCTCATCGTGGTCCTGGTGCTCTATGTCTCTTGGAAGTGCTTCCCAGCCAGTCTCAGGCAGCTCAGACAGTGCTTTGTGACGCAGCGCAGGAAGCAAAAGCAGAAACAGACCATGCATCAGATGGCTGCCATGTCTGCCCAGGAATACTACGTTGATTACAAACCGAACCACATTGAGGGAGCCCTGGTCATCATCAACGAGTATGGCTCGTGTACCTGCCACCAGCAGCCCGCCAGGGAATGCGAGGTGTGATTGTCCCAGTGGCTCCCAACCCGTGCGCTACCAAATATGCCTGGACAGCCGGGGCGGGCCGGCAAGCACCAGGCTGGGGTCTCCTGTCTGTGCTCTGATATGCTCCTTGACTGAAACCGCAAGGGGATCTCTCCCAGAGACTTGACATTTTAGCTTTATTGTGTCTTAAAAACAAAAACGAGATAAAACACAACAAAACCCCACCCCACAACCTTCAGGACAGTCTATCTTAAATTTCATATGAGAACTCCTTCCTCCCTTTGAAGATCTGTCCATATTCAGGAATCTGAGAGTGTAAAAAGGTACCAATCATTGATTTTTTTTTTGTAAACTTAAAATGTTTAAAATAAAATAGCATTTACAGTTTTTACAGACTGGTGTAACCTAAATGAATTGTTACCTGGTTAAGAGTGAAGCAACAGTTAGAATTTCCTCCCCCCACCGTGTGTGTGTGTGTGTGTGTGTGTGTGTGTGTGTGTGTGTGTGTAGGGGTGATCTAGTGGCCACAGGGAAAATCCAGAAATTCAGAAGTAGCCAGGCTCATTTTGAAACATTAAGAAGGACAAACAGCTTATCAGGTGGATGTACCCCACATGATTAAGGACTGAAAAAAGCAAGACCCTTTATATTATATTTGGGGGTGGGGGGGTACAGTGCAATCTAGCCACTTCAAAGCAATTGAAAGGCAGACTGAGGACTGAGCATCCTTGCTCAGCCTTTAAGGCAGAGATCATTGCAAATGCTTTTTAAAAGGCAGTGCCACACAGTTTTTCTTATGAGCAGGAAACATTTTTGCACTTAATACAAGCATCTTTCAAATCGATTCAAAATCTCACCCCCAAATGCCACTGGTTCACTATTCTACGCCTTTGATTCAGCAGACTTAGTAGCATTTGTTCCCTTTTCCATACTGTCTCAAGTGAAAGACCCTCATCTCCTGCTCTCTGTGGTCTGACTCAGGGAAATAAGGCGGAATACAAATGTTCGGTGATGAAAGCTGTGCTTTCTGGAGCTTATTGGTAAGACTGCAGCAAGCTGAGGCTCTCAGCAGTGACAGCACACTCCTAGTTGCTCTGGGGAACAGTGGGAAAATTCTACCCTGGGCTGAACTCCTCCCTGGGTGCTGCTTGTAGCAGGAGACTTTAGGGGCAGACGGGATACAGAAGTGATGGGGGTGCGGTGGGATGGGGAAAATGAGCTTTTGATCCTATGTTCCAATGTTACTGAAACAGGAATAATTTGTTAACCCAAGACAGAAAAGCTGCCTCTCTTCAGATCGCCCTGTTGTGTGATGCCTGCTTTCCTGTGTTGTCTTAGTTTTTTTCTGTGTTGGGGTCAGTGATTTCCCCTTCCCAACCTCATAGGTTTCCAGGTCCACAGAGGTGTGGGTTGTTTATTGAACTAAATTCAAGAGTGGTAGCAGGTGGCGATGTGGGGAAGGGACAGGGGAGGAGTATGTGTGATGGTCTTTCACTAGCTAGCAATTTAAGCAAATGTGTGATTGAAATAAACTGTCATGAGTGACAGCTGGTGAGCTAATGTTGCCCATGTCCAGAAGTTTTTCTCAAACTCAGGTGCTCACCCCTCTGAATGATCTTACAGACTGGCATCTTTCTTTTTTCCTTTTCTTTTGGGAGAGAGAGCCAAGTCTGAATAGCAGGAAGAGGGATGGGGGGAGAAAACATACACCACCCTCTCCCCAAATGCAAATGCCTCCGGCCACCTACCTAAAAAGGCACAATCAGCTGTTTGAAATGTAGAATGGCATCACCAGGAGGTTTACTTAATCTGAGGGCTGTTAGTAGATTTCTCTCCTACCAATGGAGAACCCAATATGCTTAAAAATACTGGTTCTAAGAGGTTCTTTCAAGAGAAATATTTTGCAAATGTCTCTAAGATGTTAAGCCTTGGTGGAGAGCTTCTTACACACGCACAGACGCGTGGGTGCGCGCGCGTGCGCACACCCACCTCCCCATAATCTCATTTTCTCTGACCAGGAAACTTCATCTTATTTTGTTTATAATTAAAACATGACTTTATGACACATACCATGCACGCAACACCCATTTAAACTAGTAATGTTCTAGAAGAGAGACGCTTTGATAACTTTGAGGGGGTTTTGGATTTAGTCTAAGAATGATCATTTGGGAATGCCATTGTAAACAGCATCTCACTTGGAGGGCAGGGACTGCAGGAATATCTATAATGAAACCTCAATAAAGAGACCTCCTCTAGGAGACAACAGACCTTTTCTGGGAAAAAAAAAAAAAAATCCCCCAATTGTGCAACTGAAGGATTCAATTCAATCCTTGGATTCCATGGATTTGATGTGCTCCTAGGAAGGTTCCTGAAATCCAGTGCCAAAAGCTGCTCTGGCTTGGTGCATTAAGGGCGGTGTTGGTGTGCTTACAGGGAAAGCTCCCAGAAGCAAAGCCTTATTGGCAAACATCAGAAGCACAGATCCACCCTACCCCCTAGAAATATGGATATTGGAAACTGGAGAATTTCTCTCCTATCTCTAAGACTTTTTCCCTCTTTATTCTTCTTTTGTAAATGTGGCCATGAGAAAAAGCTAGAGAATAATCATGCTTTGTTATTTGCTGCTGCCACCCCTACCCACTGTATGACTAAACACCACGTATGTAGAAGATCTGAAGCCCAAGTAAATCTAATGAAATACTATTGTAAACAGGACTCTGTCACCTGAGACCTGGAGAACAAATGATGGTCATGAATACTGTGTTCTTAATTTGTTTGTGTGTGTTTGTGTGTGTGTGTGTGTGTCTGACTGTCTCTATGCTGTGTGCCTTTATAGGCAAGGAAATATGTTTCCTACACAAACAGAAATTTAGCTCACTTCATTTCATGCTCCTGCACCTCTTGCTTTGGAGAATGGCAGCAGATGGGGGAAGGCAAGAATGAGGGAAATTGGTAGATTTAACTAAGGTTTTATGACACTTGAAATCTTTTCTTTCTTAAATTAATTGATCTTTAAGCTTCAAGAAACTTGCTCTGTCTGACCCCCTCTAAGGAAACTACTGAGCATTTAAAAGACAATCTGATTTTTTAAAGGTGTAGCACCCTTTTTGTTGTTGTTCTTCCCTCAGAGGGTGCTGATCTCCTTGTCCTGTGCTGTGTGGAAGGAATTTAAGACCTGGGCATTGTCTCTTCCTGGGCATTGTGATGGATTAACCCTCCATTTGCAGTACCTTCCCAGCTGATTAAAGTTCAGCCCTAGTATAGAGGTTTCTCAAATATTTATATAGAAAAAAAAGTCCTTTCAAATGACAAATGACACTCTCAGACCAGTCTTAGCCCCGATAGTTTTTTTTTTTTTAGGTGGTACCAGAGTGAGCAGGTTAAATGAAACCCATCCTTTGGCCTTCACTCTGAGGAAACGCAGCCCCTGGGGCTCAGACTCCAGCCCTGATAGTTGAGAACGCCAGCCAGCCCAGGCTCTCAAGACTGCAAAGTTGCCATCATAAAGAAAAGGTTATTCCAGTAAAAGGAAACTTTTAAAATTCATTTTTAATATTCTCTCAAGCTCTTCAAAGTCTAAGAGTGCCTTACCTTTTTTCCCCTGCCTTCAGGAAGGAGACATTCGGTATGGCTTAGCATCAACAACACGTTTATGAGTACGTGTAAGTCATTAGAGGGGCAGACACTACCTGTTATTTCTCTCAAGTTTCCTGAGCAACTGCACACAGATCACTGGAGGGCTTAGGGGCCTCCTGTGTTGCTGGGTTACATTAATCGACTTGTCAGCAAGTTCGGCACTTATTCTGTCTGGTGCAGCCATGTAGAAGGAAGCACTGGTGGATCACACATCCTGGGATCATGAAAGGCATCAGATACCCTTCTCACAGAGAATATTATCAAGAGGCCAGAATTTATATGCTTTGGAGAATGGGTATTATAATGTTTCAGGGTAGTCAAAATAAGCATCAATTATATCCTCTAGATAGGTGGTTATGTTGGTTGATTTTGGCTTGCCATGGATGGAATATCAAATAGCAAGGAGTTAATTGGAATATGACTATTAGGCTCCTGAAATATATTTTGGGAGAAGTTTAGGGATATACACATATATACATATATATAAATGACATAAAATGACACATAATAGTCACACATACTACGTTGTCATGTATGTACGTATATATATATATATATATATAACCACATGTATAACAACATACACATGATCATATTATATAACTAATCCCTCCAGCATTAATTATCCTCCTGCTTTCTTTTTCCATGATCAAACTTTTACTCACAAAAGGATCTGATAAAATCAATCACAAGGTGTAAAGGACTGAGGTGGCTGATGGTATTTTCAGGCAGTAGTTGATGAGTGGTAGAGGCTCTGCAGGCTGGGGATCTTCTGAGCGCCTCATTCCATAGAAGGGTGTATGCCTGCTACCTAGTGGTAAGAGCCAGCAAAGCATTCTTTACAGAGCATGCACCTAACTAATAAGTTCCACCTCAGGGTTACAAAACATTTCTCCATTAAAAATTGCTCTACTCAAATTTTTTTCCAGGGATCCTGCAGGCAGAATTCTTCCTCCTGTGACTGGGCCCCATCTCCTGGCCTTCCTCAGCGGGACACAGTTTACAGTTTTTTGCTCAAAGCAAAAGCCTGGCTATTACATCCTTAAGGCTTAGTCAGGGCTGTAAATGAGATGGAGAAAATACATTTATTGAATGGCTACTTCGTATGTGAGCCTTTATCTAGACCTTATCTTTACATGAGGAACCTGAGGCTTAGAGAGGTTGAGTGTTTTTGTACAGCTAGTAATTGGAAGCACAGGGCATTCAGTCTGGTGTCCTTTTAACTATACCCTGTTTCTAATTTCCTTGAATGGTTGCCTCCTCCACTCCTCTAACCAGCAAAGACCCTAGGACTAGCCTGGGCTAAGGGTACATGCTCACCATATTCTTGGTGGATGACATGGGTGCAATGCTTGAATCCAGGAATTTTCATCATGACTTTGTTTGCTCTGGCCTCTGGTAATCGGGTCATGCAGGACTCTGCCAACAGAGGAGGCCTCTCACAGGCTTCCAGGAGCTCAAAGTTCAGTTAATCATCCAGTCCAACCACTAACCAGAGGATTTTGGACTCAGAGAGACTAAGGTCTTCTAGGTATTCATATATTACTGTTGAGGATTTATTTAATGACCCCTCTTGGTCATTAAATGGTCTATGTCTCTATGGTGGTGGGTCTCAAACAGGGGCAAATCTGCCACCCAATCAATGTAATGTCCAGAAACATTTGTGATTTTCATGCTTGGGGTTGGGATGCTACCAGCATCCAGTGAGTAGAGGTCATGGATCCTTGCTGAGCACCCTACAATGTACAGGAAGGC